ATCCAGTCTATGCTAGAAAGGATCAGAGCTGTTATTCGAGGTTGATTTAGATTTGAAAAATATCTTTATACGAAACAACCAAAATTAAATTTTTATTTGTCTTATACCAACCCACCCCTTCCACTTCCAGAGCAGACATCCCTCTACAAACCCCTCCAACCCTCAACCCCCCAATTCAAACCCCTTCACACACATCTGAAATAACAATACCGCACACACTGCCAACACCACACCCTATACACTCGCAAACCACCTCACCAAACCCTCAAACTATCCCCCCCTCCCCTCAACAACCATTACAATTCAAAAACTACAGGATAGAGGACATCCCTGCTGATATCTGCCAGCAGAGACCATTCTATCGCCTCCTCCTGCAACATAATCTTATCCCTAAATTGGACTCACTAAAAGTCTTTCCAGCCCAAAAGGCGGCCTCGATTCGAACAACTAAACCCCTTGATATCGCCCACATCACGGCAAACCTCCGAAAAATCATCCAAAACGACCAAATCCGCATCGTAGCTCGTCTACCCAAGTCCCAAAATCCATCACCTAATCCTAATAATTCATCTATCTTCCACCTCGTCATAGCCGGCGTGGCAAAAACCTTTTCCCAAAAACTTATCGAGGATAACTTATCCGAAAACAACTTTCCCTATACCAAAGTAGTTCGAATAATCGCCCGTTCCACAAATCAACCCACCTCCTACATCAGAGTATTCACTAACTCTGAAACCAAGTTCGCTGAAGCACTCACGAGTGGTATTTGTAAGTAATTATTGTAATTATTGTATAGTAATTATTGTAAAGTATTATTGTAAGTACTGCTCGAGATGCTGCAAAAGCGGACATTTCAATACCGAATGTTCCGAAAAGTCGATAATTTGTCCGTTCTGCGGACTCGGCCATAGGTCTACTGCCTGCCCCACAATATCAGCACCAAAATGTCCCAACTGTAGTGGTCCCCACCCTGCCTTCTCACCAAGATGTCCTCACAGAAGCGCTCATCCCGCAAACTACAACCAAACCCAACCAGTACACACAGAAAAACAAATCCCATCCTACGATCTAACCTCCGACATGAAATCCCTCATCCACTTCACATCCATGCTCCTATTCAACGTCTTCCCTGAAAAGAGAAGCGCAATAACCCTATTCCTTAACCAAATATCAAACGCAATGTATGGATGTGCCATAGCCACTTCATGCACAAATAACCTAGTCAATCAAACCTTCACTCACCTACACATCTGAAAAACACACCTTACATATCAACACACATTCATACACACACCAATATCACCCATACACAACACTTTACCTCCTCCCAGCTCACAATCCCAATTAATAAACACCTAATCCCATTCCACAATAATAAACATAAAATTCAAATTAATAAACATACATAACTCCACAAACACACAACACTACACTGTGAGCACCGACTACACTCCTTAAGAGTCGATTAAATATACACAAGGACAGGGGGAGATTGGTTTTCTGTGGTTTCCCAATCTCATTGCACAATGATACCTGATCCTAGGTGAGGACACAACCACAGCTATCCTCCACGCGTTTTTCCAACAAACAAACAATGGCCAACAATCTGAAAGGAACCGTTTTTCCATGGAACTTGTACTTCGTGACAGGCTTGGTATACCGGGCTAACTCTTCCGGAAGGTACGATTTCCGCCTCTTGCCTTCTTCTTGTTCTCGGCTCCCTCCCTATCCTCTTCCTACCCTCTTTGACTTTTTAGCTCTTTAGCGGCGGCACCCTTAGTCTTCGGAGCCCAACTGAAGTCATATGAACGAAAACTGGCATTTCAAACCCAACAAGCATAAGCACCCAAGCAACAAACCCATCCTTGAAGAAGCATAGAGCTTAAAGCAAGGTTAAAACGCATTGATTGATTGATTGTTGAATTAACCAATATTAATTAATGTTAAAAATTAATAAATAATCTTAGTGTTCGGTTAATTTTGCGGGATAGTATAGTTGTTATAAAAAAAAATAGTCGTTTTCACTTTGGTTTAGACTCACGACTGAATGCTTTTAATCAAGACATGGCTATTATTTATTATTTCTTGGAATATATTTGCGTAGCATTTTTACCAAAAAGTTACCTTTCGAAAAAAAAGTGTTACTATAAATAAAACCATATTTTTATAAAAATCAAAAAATTTAACAATAGGTAATAATACATTGTATGCTCGTTATCAGCGTTAACTGGAGACGAAAAAATTAGCAATCGCATGTCCTCTAAATCACCATGTCAACGGTTAAATGAAATAAACAATGTGTTATACATATTTACGTAATATACAACAAACACATCGCTCATTTACCAGAACAACGTGATATCACAAAAAGTACAATTTTACAGGAGAGCACTTTTTAAGTTTCAAAAAATTATAACCTGGTAATGACTGAATTAATTTGCTTGAAATTGTAATGTGTATAGTTTAACTATTAACTTTGAATAAAATCAGTCATTTTACCTAAATTTTGTCATTATACTTATATAATTAAGACATGCAAAAAAAAGTAACATATTATGTCACATTCTTTCTGAAAATATAGAAAGTAATGCAATAAATTAACTAACATTGTAGATGATAAAATTTTCTGGTTTTAGGTTACTTAAATAAATAAAACAGGTGGTCTTCACTGTTTATTGGAAGTTATAAAATATTTTAAAACAAATTGTGATAAGGATCATTCATGGATATGCTTATAAAACCAGAAGTAAAAAAACTGCTGTGAATTGACTTAAGTAGATAATAGTATTAGTAAATAAACAATTATTAATCACTTGACAAAACAATTTTTTCTTTCTCAAAATTTGATAATGTTAATGATACTGTAATTAAAATGTGAAACTTAAAACATTTATGGCACTTAAGCAAGCAGACTGAACTGTATCGAAATTTATTGCTTACATAATCTAAAAAGAAGAAACATAACAATTGAACAAAGATATCAAATATATCTTTATAAAGCTTCATAAAAAGGTCTGCGGTATCTTGGAATGAGATTCTTTTTAATCAAGTCCATTAGATCTGCTTTTTTCCTGTCAGCTAAACCAGGTTTCTGTGAATATGCATTATTCAAGTCTATATTGTTTTTCTTTTTTTTATCACTATTGTATTTCGAAACTCTTCATCAACATATTGTGAATATTTAAAAGATATGCCAGAAAGATCATCATTTTCGAACTTAACCTTAATTTCTGACAGTTTGACAGGATTGTTATCCATATCTTTTGTTAAAGTTAAATTCATTTGATTACATACGTTTTTCCAATCATAAAAATCCTCGTAACACTTATCGTTGACGTGAAAACTTCCTACTTCCTACTACAACTTCCTACGACTTATAATGGAAGGGAAAGTGGAAGGAAGAAGAGGTCCAGGAAGAAGAAAATGCTCCTGGTTGAAGAATGTAAGAGACTGGACAGGTATGGACACATATTCAATACTAATAACAGCTCAAAATAGAGAGCAATTTGCTGTAGTTATAGCCAACCTTCAGTTATGGAGAAGGCACCTTAGAAGAAGAAGATGCCTAGAAAAAGATATGAAAAGATAAAAAGATATTTACACTTCAACAATAATGATAAAATTTCTGAGAATAATGATGATGCATTTATAAAAGTGCGACCTTTTCTTGATTTACTGAGTAGAACATTTGCTGATGCTGCAACAATAACTGAGTATGTAGCTATTGATGAAATAATAATTCCACTCAATCGAAGAAGTAAAAATAATCAATATATTAAATATAAACCCAGGAAACGGGGATTAAAAGTATGAGTACGAACTTTGGCAAATGGTATGTATCAAAATTTGAGATTTACCAATCCTCAAAAAATCAAAATAAACCAGAATTAGGTATCATTGGTGAAGCAGTTATGAGGCTGTGTTCAGGATTAGAAGGTGTCTATCACAAAATATTTTTGGACAATCTATTCACTTCTATATCATTAGTCATCTACCTAAAAGATGCAGATATACATATAGGAACTATCAGGGCTAACAGAATTCACAAAGCTTGCGAAAAACTGACGGATGCTAAGATTATTAAGAAAAAAGGTTCTTCTTCTTTCATGTTCCGTGACAACATCTGTAAAAATATTACAGTGCTACAGTGAGCAGACAACAACATTGTTTATATGATTTTATCTTTCGCTGGTAAGGAGCTTCAAGATACTGTAAGAAGATGGGATAGGAAAACAAAGACTTACGTTGATGTTCAAAGGCCTCAGGATATTATTCTGTACAATCGGTTCATGGGTGGCGTAGATTTATCAGATAAAATGATCGATTGCCCATTATCCACATGCGATCAAAAACAAGAAGTTCTATCTAAAAATTGTTTTTCATTTCATGAATGTTGCAATTATAAATACTTGGTTGTTGTTCAGAGAAGCCAAATCATCAAAAATATCTTTACTGGAATTTAAAGCATTTATCGCTTCAACTTTAATTGAATTAGATGGAAATGCAAGTAAACGATGAAGACTTTCATCCGAAAATTCTGCTCCAAAAACGAAAAAGACGTAGACTAAAGTTGCACTTGAAGTTCGCTTGAATGGATTGGGAAACTATTCAATGAAAATGGACTACAAAAATCCACCAAGATGCCATGACATTAATTGCAAACACAGAGCAAGATACAGATTCAAGCAGTGTCAGGAGAGTGTCTACCCAGAATGCATGGAATCGTTTCATCAATAGATCATCTAGCCATTGGCAACATATGTGTACGTTTTCGTTTTTGACTTTTACAATTTCAAATTTGACAATAATTTTTTTTACAATTTTTCATGTAACCGGATGTTAAATATAGAAAAATATTGGACTTTTTTTTATTCAAAGGAGTATCTGATTTTAGAGTATCTCATAAAAGTGATTATTGAAAAAAATCTCATTGGAATATTTTTCCGAACGAAGTCGAGCTTTTCGCCGTTATTTACTTAAACTATTTTGTTTCATTGCAGTTTCCGTTCCTTATATATACCATGGTATACTCTGATTTTGGCCGTTATAAGGGCTACGACCAATGTGGTAATGTCTGTGGACAGAAAAATAAGAAGTACGACAAGTGGGATTGTACTGGAGAAGATAACACAAACAAACCGTAAGTATTGCAACAAAATATACAAGATTAGTAGTTAACAGTTCGTTGGTCGGAAATGAAAAATCATGTCATGATTCACAAAAAAAATATTCGTGTGATTTTCCAATATATGTATATCATCTTTGAGGTGGTTGTTGGGATGGAGTTCAAAATATCCAAAATGACCTGGAGGAGATTCCTTTATTCATCTTAGATCTTGGGCAACACAGTTGGCTAGAGAGACGTTATGTGGAATATTAAAGAGATCCTGCTGAACTTCTGTGGTCACGCCGAATCTAGCACTCTTTCACTCAGCTTAATTTGACATAAATTCATTAAAGCTTGGTCGCCGGTCGTCTTTGATCTCTTATCGTGCTTCTTCTGTTTCATTTAGCCAGCATAAGGTGCAAGACGATTATGTGAACTACTTTTGGTTTACCTTGCGGCAACTTCTTAATTCGGTATATTACGTCATTTATTCTCTTTTAATTTCATACGGACCTTCCCATTGTCTTTGCAGTTTAGGAGGCAAGTCTCGACGAAGTTATAGGTTATAAAGCCAAAAAAAATCATCTACTCCAAAGCTTTCATTCTTGCATCGAGAATCATATTGATCATTCATTCTGTCACTGTCTAACTGGATGTGTTGTCGGGCAGTGCACCACCGAGCCTTGCTGCGACCATCGTATCGATGCTAGGTAAAATAAATGCATTTTATTTTACATTCGAGCGTTCACTGTCAGTGCTATGCTTTAGGCGAGGATAGAGCATAACACTCTAGGAACGCACATAGGAACATCACGACCTAACATCAGGCAGGTTGGAGTCTGGTCAAGTAGTTTTATTCACGGCCGAGCGGCGAGCCATTAGGAATAAATGAATGTGCTGGTCCCAATCTCTTTTATGTTCTTATACAACATTGAACAGGCCTATCCTTCGGTTCATCTGGTCATTCTCGAGCGGCGAGCCATTAGGAATAAATGAATGTGCTGGTCCCAATCTCTTTTATGTTCTTATACAACATTGAACAGGCCTATCCTTCGGTTCATCTGGTCATTCTGGTCTTATTAACACCAATCAATTTACAAACGTTTCGGAAGAGGGTTGACTCAAAGTTTTGCCCTTGGTCGGAGTGGATCTCCAAGGGAACACCAAATCGGCTAAAGAATTCTTTAACAAGACCTCTGCAACGGTAGCAGCTTCTTGATTTGGTATCGCATAGGCCTCAGTCCCAAAATCATAAAAACTCAAAGAGCAATCGAAAAACAAATGTTGCGCATAAGACTAGTGGATAAAAAGAGAAACGAGTAGATACGAGAAAAAACAAAAGTGAGGGATGTTAGACAATAAGTTGCAAAATTGAAATGGAGATTTGTCGGACACAATAAAAGACAAAAAGAAGATCGATGGTACAAAATTCTTATAAGTTGGAGACCGTGGGAATATAAATGAAGCAGAGGAAGGCCCCATATGAGATGGGCAGATGATATAAAGAAGCATGTGGGCTCTAGGTGGATGACTTTAGCGACAGACAGAGAAGAATGGAAAAGGATTGGGAGACCTATGTCCAAAGATGGATCGAAGAAGGCTAATTAGATAGAGGCCTCAGTCCATTTCGTAAAATAATCCATGGCTACCAGGATATATTTATTTCCATCATTCGTCTCTGGAAATGGACCTGCAATATCGATTGCTACTGTTTCCATAGGACTACCTACATTGTACTGTGTCATAGGTGCCCTCTTTTAACCAACTGGACCACTACTGGTTGCACACAGTTCACATTTCCGACACCATCCTCTTACACAACCTTTCAGTTCACCCAATAAAAGCGTTCTCAAACCTTTTGCAGCCTGCAACCAAAGTGTCCATCTGAGGCACCGTCATGCAACTGATACAATTCTTCTGACACTTTATTTTCAATACTATCAACTGAACCTTAAATTCTGTACCATCATCGTTCTCAAAGGTTCTATGCAGAAGATCATCTTTTAACACCAGGCCATTCCATTGGCTCTAGTAAGACTTGACTTCTGGACTAAATGCACTAATATCTTGCCCAGAAGGTCTTTAACTTCGATGTATCCAATCCAATACTCTTTTTATACATATATCATCTGGTTGGGCGTCTTGTAGCTGTTGAGGCTGCCATTGATCATTAATGATAGTAGTTCGTCTTACGGGGCAAAGTCGTTCTTCTAATTTAAGACAGTGATTACAATTTGCACTACATAACCGTCTTGACTGAGCATCAGCATTTCAATCACTTTTTCCAGTCCAGCGTTCGAATTTTTTCAAAAATGCTGTCTGGTACCTCTGGATAAGCCAACCGTAGTATGCAAGCAACATCTGCTTCAAACTCTTGCAAATTGTCACTTGCTGGTTGAATTCTACTTCTTAGTTGCGCCTTGTAGACTTGTTGTAGATAAGCATCTCCGTAACGTTTGTCTAATCGAGTGAACAAGGTCTGGTAACATTTTTCTTGTTCTGTCCAATGATTGGCTGTGGCAATAGCTTCAAATTATCTAAGAAGACTTTCCATCAAATGGTGACAATTTGAGTCATATATAATGTGTCGTTTCGTCTCTTGGTGATTATTCTTTTACTACAGGATCTTCAACTACTGCATTACCTGGTGGTAGCACTTTTGTATTGGTTATCATGCTCTCCAACTGTTTGATCTTCTCTTCTACTTTATCGAATGTTCTAAAAACTTCTTCAAATTTCTCATTGTTCTGACTATATACCTCGTCGAATCTTCTAGAAACATTTTAAGATTCCTCATCGTTTTGTCTAGCTGCTTCTTTAACAATTTTAAACGTTTCATCGAATCTTTGAGAAACATTTTCGAATTTTCCATAAATTATTTTCTTTAAAACCACTTCTTCTGCTGATTGAAACTGTCTCTGGGTCATCTCCATTCTTGTTGAGAACATTCCTTAGTCGTTTTTGGAGGATCTTCTTGGACCCGATGCAGTCTTCATCGCGTTATTCCAGTTGCTCACGCAACTGTTTTACTGAAAGTTCTGTAATCCTCAGCTTTGGTCAGGCACACACATACTTTTTTTTAAATGTTTTTTCTTGCAAAAATCACTACCTAACTACGCTAATGTTCCCGACGAACAATACTTTTCAAAAGTTCAAAAGTCACTGCTGAATTTATTTTTAAATTACTTCGATTATCCCACACGGTGACACCAACTGTAGCGTGTTTCATTAAAACGAGCTGTTCTAATTTATATAATATATTTATTTATAAGTTTACAGCACGATAATATCTTATAAACTACCTCCCAACTAATAACAGCGCAGTTTATATATCCAAGTTGTTATGTAGTATGTACTACAATAATCTGGAATAGTCCAGCTCTATTTCCGCTTGTATTTGACGTGTCGATCTCTCAACCGGACGATACATCCAGAAGCTTCTCGCACACATCGTCGTCTCGAGATGAAAACGTTATATGGGCTACGTAAGTGTGTTATTGTTTACACGGAACTTATATTAGAATTGAAAATAGTAGATTTGTAGACAGTGAGTTCTTTTTAGTTAATATACTGTTTTAGAACACTTCAATTCCATGATTAACTTGTTTATGCATTATAAAGTATAGGGATATGCATCTTTTTCTTTTGATCATGTTCTTAGCGAAGAGACGGAATTCTGTGGAATTTGGTTGTAAGACTATTGATAAAACATAGATAAGAAATATGTACGATTTTTTAACAAAGTTTACTTCGTTTCAGGTATTTACAGTACGAAACCAGTGATAGACATTTAGGATGGGACTCTTTATTGTTAACTAGTAGAAAATGTGTTCAAACATGTGAAGCAGGATAGTAAGTATATAAAACTTTAATTTCTACAGTACAGTCTGTATAAATAAATATAAACGCCCAGACTTTTTATTAATCCAGTATACTCCCTCTATAACGAACACGGTTATTACGAGGTTTTGCTTATAACAAAGTACATTAGATGTCTCATGAAATTTCTATTGAACTATAACCCTCTATATCGAGGCAAATTTGGTTATAACGAAAGAAAATAAGATCAAAAAACGTGTTTTTTACGTTTTTGGCCCGGCTGAGGCTTTAAAGAAATACCTTTTTTAACTCCCGCCCGCAATAAACTTCTATTTAATCTACTGACCGATATTGTGTTGTCGGAAATTTACAATTTATGATTCACAAGTGTCAGTGTAGGGATTTGACCATTCGAACCTAATAAACTATGTAAAGAGGCTTAAAAACATGACAAATGACACAAATTTCACCAGAATTTCATTTCACAGTTGTTTTTTTATATGTTTATGTGTTTGATTACACACTATGACTCCTAAGAGAAAAGCATTTACTTTAGAAGAAAAACAACATCCTCAAAGATGTTGAGAACTGTAAGAAGAAAGTAGAAGTTTGTCGTGAAAGAGTAAGTTCAAGTTCCACTCTATCTTCTTCCAGTAAATCGAAAAAATTACGTGCCGCAACTAATAAAGAGCTCGATACTGCAATGGTTAAATGATTTACGATAAACAGGACTGCGAATGTTCCAATAAGTGGACCACTGGTTTAAGAAAAAGCAACACAGTTTTCGAAGGTTCTAGGTGGTGATGTGAATTTTAAAGCATCGAGTGGGTGGATGAGTCCTTTTAAGGCCAGGCACGAAATTACGTGTTGAAAAATTTGCGGTGAAGCGAAGAGTGTTTCCAACGAAATCATCGACAACTGGTTGAAGTCATGGCCTACAATAAGACAAAATTACATTGACGATAATTTTTTCAATGCCGACGAGCTGGTACTTTTTTTTAACTTACTCCAGATAAGACCCTCAAATTAAAAAATTAACGATGTATAGATGATAAGTTATCAAAAAAATAGGTAACTGTTGTTCTTATGCCGTCCGCACATAAAGTTAGTAAAAAAACTAAACTAGTTGGTAACTAGAATTACCAACTGTTGACTTGAACACTACGCTACTGAAATTTAATGGAAACGAGTCAATTCTTGCCTGTACGAGTAGCTTTGTTATAGGGAGTTTTAAAGGGTAAATTAAGGGTAATTAAGGGTAAATTTTAACCATGAGTGTTACCTATTATTGAGTGTTATTATCGCGTTAAAAATGTCTAGTGACTCAATTGATGAAGATATTTTTCTTTATTATTATAATAGAAGACGTAAAATGCAGAAAAAAAGGAGGTATTGGCTTCAATATTGGTCTCAATTTATACCTGGACGGAAGACGAAGCACAAAAATCTACCAACGAGGTTGCTTTCATTATATTCAGTAAGTTGAGATCTGCTGATATCTCAGGATATGACTCCATTCATTTGGTGTCTGATGTTTGCGGTGGACTAAATAGGAATATAAATATTTTAACTGTGTGCTGTAAGTTACTGGATAGCTGTGCTCCAACAAATTACTTACGAAAAATTGAAACAGTCTTTCCTGTAACAGGACACTCATTCCTTCCTGCAGAGTATTTGGGATGATAGAGTAAACATTAAAAAAAATCAACACAATTGTGACAAAAGAAGAATATCATGAAATTTTTAAGAAATATGGTACGATTAAGTTGATTGGAAAGGATTGGGTACAGTTGTACTGGAAACAAGAAGTGAAAAATGAAATCGTGAAATTCCACACATTTCATCACCTTAATCTCCTCTCTCACAGTCGATCCCCAAGACATTCTCGTCAGTTTCGATGTATCATCCCTATTTACCAATATCCCCATACATGACTCTCTAGTTGTTCTGCGAGATCACTTGACCAATGATAACAAGTCTTTGGTTTTGGCAGATCTTGCGGAAAAATGCCTCCTTTCAACATATTTTTCTTTTAGAGGCAATTTCTACAAACAAATATCTGGAACACCAATGGGTTCTCCCCTTTCCCCTGTCATTGCTGACATTTTCATGGAAGCCTTTGAGTCTTTAGCCCTAGAATCTTACCCCTTAAAACCAAAAGTCTGGTTCCGCTACGTTGATGATACATTTATCATCTGGCCCCATGGTCAACATACCCTTTCTCACTTCCTAGATCATCTTAACTCACAACATCCGAGTATAAAATTCACAATGGAAGTAGAAAATAATCGGTCCCTTCCCTTTCTCGATGTGTTAGTCACTTCCAAGCCCAATGGCCGATTGGGTCACTCTGTTTATAGAAAAAAGACTCACACGAATCGTTACCTACATGCTTCATCACACCACCATCCTGCCCAAAAGAATTCTGTGATCAACTCTCTCATCCATCGGGCCATTTCGATTTCTGAACCCGACAACCTTAGAGAAGAACTTGGCCATCTGCAAAAAACCCTTGTCGCCAACGGTTACTCCAAGTCCACAATTCAAAATATTACACACTGACATCTACATCCCCCTTTACACCCTAGGACGACAAATTCAGAATCTTCGGGTAATACTCCCGTGGCTTTTCTTCCGTATATTCGAAATGTCACTGATAGGATTGGCAAAATTCTTCGCAAAGAAGGTATCAGGACTACTTTTCGACCACCCAAGAGAATCTCACAATATCTACCCTCTCCTAAGGACCCATTACCGCCCCTATCTTCCTGTGGTGTCTATTCTATTCCTTGTTCATGTGGACATGTGTATATTGGCGAAACTGGTCGTTCCGTCAAAACTCAGATTCAAGAGCATCAAAGATGCATTCGATCAGGTCTTTTCTCCCATTCTGCAGTTGCAGAACACTGCCAAGAAACCGGTCATTCCATATTGTTCGAAAAAACCCATATTATTTCTAAAAGCCCCTTCTTTTATTCCAGGAAAATCCGCGAATCTCTAGAGATCCGAAAAAATCCCCATAATATCAATCGAGAGGAAGGATACTACTTGTCTCCCATCTGGAATCTCAGTCTAGAACCGCCGTCCGGTCCCGCCACCACGATGCAGCCACATGATTGGCCAGCGCGCGATTTTCTTGACGTTCGCGCCACGAAGTGTGCCGATACGTCCCGACACGACAGGCACCGCGACTATAAATAGAGCGGTAGCGGAGTAATCGTCGTATTCACTCCCCGCCTCTCGACGCGTTAGTGTTCTGAGCTGTTGGACGTGAATCCCTGTCCTGGCATTTGGTTTTCACCTCTGGCTGCGTTGAGTAGTTGAGTTACTGTGACCAAATGCCCATCTTGGTAGTTAGTATTCGCCTCTGGTTGCGTTGAGTAACTGAGTTACCGTTGCTAACTACCCATCTTCCTGTTCTTTTGTTTTCTTCTTTCTTTCTTTTTTCTTTTTTTGTTCTCCTGAAGAAGCTACATACAATTGTAGCGAAACGTCGAGATGAACCCACTTTTGGGTCACTCACAAATGACACGGTCCAAACCCGGAAGACGGATAAACTATAAGAAGTGAAAAGTTTTATGAAAACAGCCGCTAAACTTTATTTCAAAAATTTCCACCTGCCGACGAATAGTTCTTCGAAAAACTAAATTGGGAGACATGGATGTGAAAGGAGAGATTTCTTACAACCTTGACACTGGTGCAGAGAAGAAAATTTATAAGTCCAACTGCACCATTAGACAGATCACCCAAAAGAAATTCGTATTGGTGTGACCATAAAAGCAGAAAAGGTTACGGACATAGCAAAATTGATTGTAAAACATTTTGGAGTATATTGGAGGAAGAATGGTAGTAGGTTATTCCACGAATATACGACTGTTTGGGATTATTGCGACAACGAATATTTTACTGTGCAAGTAGAAGTATGAAAGTAAATTGGTCTAATTATTATTCCAATAGAAAGCATCTACTGTTAGTATTACATCTGAACTAAACTTATTTCAGTTAATAGATGTTCAAATAGACGCAAAATTTATTGTGAAATTTAATCCGAAAATAACAAAAATTTTTACGCAAACGCCCATTTTTACGAAAATGTGTTCATCAGACATTTGGGTTGGATTTCGGTGAAATGTAATCAAAGTACATTTGAAATGTAAACATTTGTAAACAAATGCAAATATAGTGTATTATATGCAATTATAGTGTATTCCTTTATTAGGTACTACAACTGTAATAAAAATAAATATACTATTTTTATTATAAATGAAAAGAAATTGGCAGAACGATGGTTCAGAAACCAGAAAAAGAATCTATTCGCGATAGCCAATTCCGACAGGGGGCGCTGAAGATTTTAAAGATGGACGATAACTTCGGGAAAACAAATAATTTTGTCATTTGATCTCTAAGTTATAAAACGTTTAATATAAATCATTTACACGTGTGTTTTGCCAAAGTAAAAGTTGGAGTACGTTCTTCAAAGTTTATTTGTTTGTGATTCGAGTTTATACATAAGGTAATTGACTCTCAATCCTGAATAAAAATAAAATTAAATGTTTGTTTTTCTACAGTATGTCTAAAACACGGGAAGTAAATTTTAGATTATATTAATTATTTATATGGTTGCGAGATCGGCAGAGATCTTTAGTTGAGGGTGAGGCAGTTTTTGGACCTGGCCACGTTATATTTTGTAAATTACGTCTTACGTTTTCTACTAATAACTTCATGAGACGGTTGATGCAATTTAGCTGAAGGAACAGCATTTTTCTTCAGTCTTCTTAATTTAGTTTCAGGTGTTACTATAGAGTAAATTAAGTATAAATATATTAAAATATAAATAATATTTTAACCAACACTTGGAAAGTAATCGTTCTCAGTAAAATGTAAACTGCACACAGTCACGTACTTGGTTATATGTTTGCAAATTCACAAAATGCATTCTCAAACTTTTCTCATATTCTCGTCCAGCGGAAACTTATGTATGGAATTTCTTTGTGAATTATAATAGGATGAACATTGCAATAGTTTTTTGAAGTCGAAGTCATTGTTAATTACAATATAAACCAGTCGCTAATATGTATACAAAATAATGACAATTTCAATGTTTTCCCGAAGTGGATGCTTTTGAAATCTACCACCAGGCGTCACCCACTTTGCGGTTCCTCGCCAATATAATATTTCACTTTGTTAGTTTTAAATATTTGTTTGGTTTGAGTGGATGTACTCTTAAAAGTTCCGAAAGTTTTTTTATAACGGGTATAATATACCGACTATTGACTAAGTACCGAGTCGTTACAGATATTCAAAAGTAACGAAAATTTACATACAGTTTCATATATCGCCGACTGATTTTAGTTCTAAAAACCGTCCATATAGAGGTTTCCGGTGAAGAGAGGTGTCCGTTAAGAGGGAATTTAGTGTAGTGTATTTGTATATTAGGGAACGCGTGAGCAAATACTCAACACCAGACAGATAGTAGAAAAAGCGAGAGAACATAACATACCAATGTTGCTCTGTTTTGTAGATTACACAAAGGCTTTTGATTCAGTAAAATGGGATCCTCTCTGGAGTATAATGGAAAATATGGGAGTGCCTAACCACCTAGTTAACCTAATAAGAAATCTGTATAATAAAAACTCAGCCAAAGTTAAAGTACATGGAATATATTCAAATGCATTCAAAACAGAGAAAGGAACTAGACAAGGTTGCATACTATCACCATTATTGTACAACATATATTCTGAATATATAATGAGAAAAGTATTAGATGAATGGGATGGAGGAATCACTATAAGAGGCAGAAAAATCAGTAACCTGCGATACGCAGATGACACACTTATACTAGCAGCGAATGAAGTCGAAATGATTACCATCATCGAACGGCTAAGCCGAATAAGTGAAGAATTCGGACTTCAAAACAACACCAGAAAAACAAAAATAATGATTGTAGACAGAGCAAATATTAATCTACCGCATATACGCCAAATAGAGATTTTCGAAGTAGTCGACAGATTTGTATACTTGGGCTCTCTGATAACCAACAATGGTGATTGTTCCTCAGAAATCAAACGTAGACTAGGAATGGCCCGAACCGCAACTGCTAAATTAATTAAAATATGGAAAGACCGAACAATAACAAGGAATACTAAGCTCAGGTTGGTCAATGCCCTTATTTTTCCCATTGCTACATATGCAGCTGAAACATGGACTCTCAAAAAAATCGATAGGAGTAAGATCGAAGCCTTCGAAATGTGGGTATATAGAAGAATTCTACGCGTGTCCTGGACAGAACATAGAACCAACCTGTCAATTCTGGAAAAGCTTCATATAAAAGACAGGCTACTAAAAAAAGTAAACCAAGCATACCTAACTTACTTCGGCCACATAGCTAGAAGAACGGGCACCATGGAACTATTGGTAGTAGAAGGAAAGGTAGAAGGCCGAATACCAAGAGGAAGATCTCCAATACGATGGGTAGACCAAATGAAGAGTTTGGTGGGAAAATCCCTACATGAAGCCGTCCATATGGCACAAGATCGTCAATGGTTAATGGAGACAGCAGACTAACAATATTTAGGGTGTCACTACGCCCTGACAAGGGCTAAAGGATTGAGGAGGAGGATTTGTTTATTGAAGCCAAAAATGCCGAGACGTGTTTTAGATGTAGACAAGTTTATATTTAATGTAATTTCTTATTTTATTGCTGAGAAAACCAACGGGGCCCTTTGCGACCTGTTCAGTCCGTACATAAACGTATGTGTGTGTTGCACTCTGTATTAGTGAAACAAAACTAAAGTCGGTTTTGCAAAAAGGAAAAAAATGTGGACAAAGTGAACAAAATGTCGCACATATAAATCTCGCCGACAACCAAAGACTATAAAGATCTTCCCGAAGGTTGCAAATTTGAAATCCGTGAGACAATATATAAAATGCGCGAAAAGAAAGAACATGTTTCTTTAGATTCAGTGCTACAAAAATTAAAAGACAGAAATATATTTGAAATTTCCAAGTCTCTGGAGAGTTTTAAGCCATATTGGCTTTAAGTTCAAAAAGGATGACAATAGAAAGGCTTTGTGTGAAAGAGCTAGTGTCGTTCACAAAAGAATAGAATTTTTAAGAAATTACAACAATTTTAAAAAAAGAATGTTCTTCCTTCGTTTATTTAGACGAAACATGGATTTTTGCTAAAGGCGGTATCAAACGAATGGGACAGGACGAGAGTATTAAATTCATAAAACACATCGATAACGAGGGAAAGAGATTTAATATAGTGTATGCAGGTGGAAAACATGGTTTTATTGAGGGAGCAGATCTTGTGTTTTTATCAAAATCAAAATCAGCCGATTATCATGACAATATGAATACGGAGATGTTTGTGAAATGGTTGAAAGAAAAACTGTTGCCAAGTTTACATGAACCATCCGTTATAGTACTGGATAATGCTGCGTATCATTCGGAAATTTTAAATAAGCAACCAAGAAACACCTGGACTGTAGATAAAATAAAAGAATGGTTAACGAATAAAAATATTACATTTCCTCAATACTATTTTAAGCCTCAATTACTAACGTTAGCTATAAGTCATGCACAACCAAACATATATATATATATATATATATATATATATATATATATATATATATATATATATATATATATATATAGTAGACGAAATTATACATATCTTTGGACATCGTGTGTTAAGACTACCTCCCTATCATTGCCAATTCAATCCAATTGAATATATTTGGGGGATATGCAAAACATATTATAATAACCATATTGGATACAAGGGTTACAGTGACGAGGCAGTCTTGGTAACATGGCAACAAGCATTGGATATTGCCACTCCTGAAATTTGGGGAAAAAGTGTAAAAAAATGTGAAGACTTAATTAACGAATAGTGGATCCGTGAAGGTCGCATCGAAGCAGTTAATCCTGTTTTAATTTATCATCCGAATGAGGATAGCGACGACAGTGATTATGGCTGTGAATCTGATGGTTGATAATAGTTTTAGGACATTAGGTGAATAAGAGAATAAGTAAGTTTTTTTATTTTTTTAATATTAATTGAATATTTGACTAAATAAAGTACACTATTTAATCACTTAAGTATTGTTACACTTCGTTTAAATCACTTAATTAAAACACCAACTTGTTTACAATACTAAACTCAACTCTATATTTATATCATGACTTCATATTTAAATCTACGGTTTATATCTGCCATAACAGTATTTTAAAAATGGGGAGAATTTACTATTGTACAATGCAGCACATTGGACCATTTAAGTCGATACCTTAAAGCGAATTTAAAACAGTCGTATATTCGTGGAATGGAGTATATATCTTTTATATTCCATACAAAAAATATTTATATTACTTTTTTATTTTAGTGTTCAAGTTATCAATACCTGTTACAAGAAAGCCCCGAAATATAATGAATTTAATTTCCGTTTAAAGAGAGATGCCGAGGAAATCGAAACTTTGGAAGATATGGGAAAAGGCCTGTCTGATTATTTAAACAAAAATGCTTGGAGAATTGCATTGGCATGTTTTCTGTCACTAGGTAAGTTTAAAACATAAGAACTAACCTAAAAAATTAAAACTGAGGAAAAACATTGACATGAGATGTGTGCAATAGAGTTAGGCCGTCCGCACATTGATCGATCGAAGGCACGCGTCTAAGATCATGCGTCGTGCTCGTCTTAAACGAACCCTGCTGCACGAGCGATTGTTTACCGCACACTAGTCGATTCAGTTTGCTGTTTGCTCTAGTGATGCAACGAATATTCGCATTCGCGAATATTCGCATATTTTTGCATATTCGCATTCGCAAAATTTGTGCGAATGTTTTGCGAATATGAATATAAGAAAAATAATAATTTGAAGATTAGGTTAATAAAATAAAAATCCATTCTCTTCTCAGTATTTTTTATTAACAAAACTCACTTTGTTTTACAAGCTATATTAATTTTGTGTTTGTATTAAACAAAAATACTGCCCTCTCTTATTAAAAAACAACAATTGTCTGTTTTTACTTATTTTTCAAGTTTGTTTTTAACAATAAATAAAAACAGAGAACTGTTATTTTTTAATAATTAAAATTTAATAGAGAAATAATAAACTTTAGAAATAATAGCTTTGACGCCTTTTCTCCTTCAAGTCTGTTTCGATGTGGCGTATAAAGAAGTCCAGCGCCACTAAACAAGCGCTCGCTCGGGACACTCGTTGGTGGTGTAACTAACTATTGCCGAACTACAGGAAAAAGAAGATCGTACCTTCCCTTATTCACTTTCCACCATGTTAGAGGGTCGACGTCACCTGCCATGCGTTTTTCCGATGAGTATTCTGTGACAGTTTTCCGGATTAAAAAATGGACAGAGTTTTAATAACCAGGAAAAGCCATGTCATCTTCTTCACTATCACTCGTATCCATCAGTAAACTCATCGTTTCTTTTAAGGATAGACTGTTGTCTGTTTCGTAATCTTCGCATTTATTATTTAATCTAACACGCTTTGCATTCTGGTAAAGTGAATTGGAAGATATGTCGGTTTCATTGTCTCTGAGCAAATCCAAAATATGCCCTATGACAAGCTCTTTAGTCGACGTATTTTTAAAAAAAATTGCTTTGTATCTTGGATCAATAAAGGTCGCAAACCAGAAAACTTGCGAATAAGCTCATCTTTTATGACGGTAATCGTATCACCAATGTGTTCATCGGATGAATCAAGATCATGAACAACTTTTTCTAGAGTAGCAATTAAGGGAATTACAGAAGAAATAGAAACATCGACAGCATTTAACCCTCTGGTCACTTCTTCAAATGGTCTTAGTAAACCGATAAGTTTTTCAACAATCATCCACTCTTCAGAAGCCAGCTGAGTGACTCTTTGACTTGAAAAATACGCTCGAACATATAAAAAGTGCTGTTCCACCTAGTAGCACATTCTTGAATAATCTTAAGAGGTTTTTGATTAAGTCTTTTTTGTATATTGGTCAACTCATCTTGGGCAGCAGTCGAATGATGAAAATGAGTTGCCATCTTTTTGCATTTTGTTTTGACAGCCACGACAGATTCTTGAGCCTTCATCCCTGCTTTTAACACATTTTGAATCTTGTGAGAAGTACAGTCAATATGTTTAACATTTAATAAGTTAACACCTTTTTTGATATTAGCACCTGCATCGCGAACTACACATTTCGGTGTGGCGGTCTTCATTAAACACTTCTGCTTTTAACACTATCATTTTTATTTCAAATTCTTTTGTTATCCCATGACAAGTTAAACTCAGCAATGAAACTCCAGAACAATTATCAGACCAAATGTCGGTAGTAATTGATAATTTTTCGAAGGATTTTAGTAATTCAAGAATTTTATGACTTACTTTGCCAAATAATTTATCGCATATAAATGAAGTGAAATACTGACGCGACTTTAAATTGTAAGGCGGACACAAATGCTTGATAAGTCTTGTGAATCCAACACTTTCTACGAAACTAAATGGCAAGTCCTCCAACGCAACCATTTCGCTTATAGAATTATCCACTGCCAATGATTTCAAAGAATTATTATCCTACTGTTTCGTTTTATCGACAAATTCTTGAAGCGATATTTGTTTCATGGCAGATTTAGTACCTTGATGAGAAGATGATGCTCGTTGAAGTGACTTAGAAGCAGCTTGTTTTCGGTTTTCACACTCTTCTAATTTGGAAAACTCGGTTTTATGCAGTGCCTTTAAATGATTTCTCATAGCCGTTGTAGTTCTTCCTTTTCTCGAATATTCTTTGTTACACAGCTTGCATTTAGCTCGTTCAGTATCGAAAAGTGGTGAAAAATAAGTCCATATTTCACTATAATTTGATTTACTCATAGTAATAAATCGCTAATCACACTTTAACTAAAAATTCACTTGTATTTGTGCACGAGCAAAGCAGGGCAAGTGGAGTGACTTGTGTCCCGTGAAATTTTTATTGGAACTATAACCAGAGAACTTAGTTCTCTGCTATAACTTTCTCTTTATAACAAGTCAAATTTGATTATAACAAGAGAAAATAAGATCGAAAAACGTGCTTTCTACGTTTTTGGCCCGGACGTGACTATAAATAAATACCTTTTTAAACGACCCCTCAATAAACTTAACCGCCTACAATAAACTTCTTTACAATAAATACAACTGTTTCACATCTTTAGCAAATATGATAGAATGATACTGGACAATTTAAAGCAGTTAAAAATGACAGACTTTTTCCAATTGCCTACACACCTCGCGCAAATGAGACTGCCGGCAGTGCCGGAGACAATTAAAATTGCCAAATTAAAAAAAAAACTGAATATTCGCATTCGCGAATATTCATAAAATCAGAATTTTTATGTTTGTTGAAGGTAAACTAAATTCACGAACAAATACTTACAATGTCGGGATAGTATTATGAGGTTTTTTTCCTGGTTTTTCCCTCATAATTTACTATGGAATCACTAACAGGAGAATTTTACTGTCATCATGTCATGTGTTTGTCTTTTTAAAGACGAATTACATGCAATTGTCAATATAAATGAGTCAGATAGAATTAAATTATTAGAAGAATTTTTCACTATGTAACAAAAAACAAAATTTGTTTAATTTACTGTTTGTATTTTGAGAACGATTTCCGAAGTGGAAATTGAAACGTCAATAAACGTATTTTTATCTTTAATTGTGGCTTATTCCCAGTTTAACAGTAATTAATAAGGTTGAATGTTCGAATAATTAAACTTTGAGGGTATACAAGGCAACTATCGAACACAGTGATTAATTTAATCTTGCCCAAGTACTTTCGATCAATAGATCATCTTCAGGGGCATCTGAAATAAGCCAAGAAACGTTTTTTATAAAAAAGGAAAATTAATTCACTTGGATAAAAAACTCCAGGTTTATGGTTGAAAAAATTTTATATGTGATAAACGTTTATAGACTTACTTAGTCAATTGTGGCCTATCCTGACATGAGTAGAATGACATAAATGTAAAATTTGGACATAACAATACAAAATACAATACACAGAGACAAACAAACACTTTAAAATTTTAAGGAGAAGCTACATGTTGTATAGAAGCCGGAGACAGAATGGGCTCCGGTCTGACGGAAATATTGAGATGACATGTGACAAATGACAGCTTGTGAAGGGCAGTTATGTGATCTGCACCTTTCAAAATTCTATGAAACTAAGTATTGACCAAAGGTCCAACTGACACCATTATAGGAAATCAACTGATGAAATATAAAATTATATAATATATTTTTTATGTAGATTGAATAATCCCAATCTCACACTCAAACCTGTCTATAATAATTAGGATGTTAGTTTGAGAGCAAATGAAGTCGACATAAAGTATGAATGTAAGAAAGACTAACAATATATTAGACAGTGGATGGTTGACTACAATAAAATGGTCCACCAAGCGCAATCGGTACTGTAAGAAAGAAAAATCTGAATATGCAGTTAAATTACTAAAAGTTAAAATCAAAATTGAAGACAAAATATATAAATGAGTTATAATCCAAGTAGTTCAGTTGAATCCACAGTCAATGGAAGAACTTTAAAATTCTTTAAAATTGTGGTTGCTGGATACTAAGTGTTGACCAAAACTTGAAGAATTTGGTCTTTTCAAATGTTAAAAGGGGGAAGGACTTTTATGCACTAAAAATGGTCAAATTTACCACTAAAATCTAATAGATAACACATAAAAAACTCATTGTGCCCAAGACTGAGATGTAATGCATAAAAGTCCTTCCCCCTTTTAAATTTAATGTTTGTTTCGTCCCTTCTAAGTGTTTTCTGTTTTAGTGTGTTTTAAATTCTCCTTAATTGTTTTAATTCTAATATTTTATTTACTTGACTTTGCAATAATCTACTATTTTGCCAATAGAACTTTATCAAAGAAATTTGATAACTACAAGTTGAAAAATAATTGCACACCCACACAATTTGTACATCTAAACTTATTCATTGTCATAAAACTGTCACCTTCATAAAACAATTACTCAATAAATAACACACATTTCATAAATATATCTCTCGAATAAGTATAAATAACTTTCAATAATACAATGGTATATTACATCACTTTTATTTAACAAACAATCACACACATATCTCTGCTTTATTGGATCAAATCTATCTCCTCAAGAACTTCCCGTTTACTGTCAAACAACACAATAGCAGAATTGAGTTCTCCATTCAACAATACATAGTAGTTTCAACCATGTTCTACCATCCATCAATTAATAGAGTACCGGCATCATTTATTTAACTTTGTACTGAGACCTGAAGATGCTTTGCATATTGGTGGTTTGTTTGTGTTTAAATGACTGCGGACACTAAATCCATTCGCCAATCTTACAATTTGAGGTGTAGTGTGTGTGTGTGTGTGTGTAGAGTAATTGTCTTGATACTTAGCAAAGTCGACGTCATTGTCTTTGCTAAGAGACGCTAATTGTATCCGAACGTCTGCGGTCCCTCCGGTGTGTACCGATCACACAAGGATAGAAATTATTTTCATTTATTAATTTTTTTAATAAACGAAAATTTCCACCCAGGTGGGATTCGAACTCACGACCTTTAGGTTTAAAGGCAGGCGCTCTTACCACTGAGCCACAGAGGGGGTTGCTTTGCATATTGTAGAAAGCGAAACCGTTCGTCTGATAGTTAAATTAAATTGATTGTGAGTAAGTCTTATTTATTATTTCTTTACCTATTTGAAATGGACTCACACAAGCAACATATTCACTAGTTTTATCAATTTTTACATAAGCATACTATAAACAACTTGTCCATGTTTTAGGTGTTGGAATGTTAATGTTGTTCCTGTTTAAAACCGCTACAGCAGCAGTTGTTTGGGGTATTCTAGGAGGAGTCCTAATTTTTGGAACCATTCTTGTAGGACTGGCATGGTAAGCATGACACAATAAAATACTATCTGCATTAATTGTTTATTGAATAGCTTTTAATCCGTAAAATCCGTTTCTTCTGATTATATGTTTTGTCATAATTTCACATGTAATTTTTGTATGTCCTTTGTGCATTTTATTTAAAGTTTCATGTTATGCATTTGCATTAATTTTTTGTTGAATGGTTATTAACGAAGGCATTCCTTTCCTTTTTTCAAGTTTTTTGTAATCTTTAATTATTGGGAATAGCTCACACTTTTGTCAAACCTCCACATTATGCTACGACATCCCTTATCAAATTATCTGGATTTCTTCTAGGTAATCCGAAATATACCGACTTGATTATTTGTCTTTATTGTGTCTATATTATGTATCTTTTTTATCAATAGATATACTGTTTTTGGTTTATTTTTCATGTTATTTAACTGTTTTACTCATACTGCGAAATATTGACGACCATACGATTTCATTAGTATTTAGTTATCCTCCAATAAGTATTTAAAGCTTAGTGACATAAATAAATCACTGACAATCCTAATAAATTTCGAGTATGTACAGTAGATTAGACACAAAGGCGAAAGCAGAAAGACCGCTCACCTATTAATGTTACCAATTAAGGTGTGGATAAAAATATGTAGGCGCCATGTACCTTAGATGGCACAAAACTCAAGTATATGATTTTCTTTTTTATTTTAGGTACGCCTACTTCAATTTCGACAAATTAGTTAATGATAATAAGAGGAACGTGAAGTCCAGCAAAGAGGGTATTCTATTTCTGGCTATCTTTTTTACTATTCTGATATTGATATTTTTGTTGGTCGCTGTATTCATGTACCGAAAGATCCAATTAGTCATTCAGTTACTGAAGGAAGCTACAAAGGCCGCTTTTGCTATGCCACAATTACTGTTTATTCCAATAATTGTAAGTATTACAAATGTAAATAAAAATTATTTGATCTAATATTATCGATTGTCTTAAAGTGACTTGTCTGTACAGGGTAAATGAACAACATCGATGCCATACTTCTTTGCAAACTTGTATTAAAATAAACGTCACTTCTTACTACTTAGCCTAATCTATCTTTTATGTTAAGGGTAGCTTAAGTACTAATGCACACTAACGAACCTGCCTGGCTTCATTCTGTCATTGGTTCTCAAACATAAATAATATTTGCTACAACATACTTGGGTTAAATTAAAATAAAATAGAAATTAAGAAATGCCTTTTATTTATGTCACACAAGCAGTTTGTTTTTAATTCTACAGTATGTGCTACAAGAAACATTTTATTTATGTATTGTTCCGTTCAAAAGTTAAGGGGGGAAGGACTTTTAAAAACCGCACTGTATATGTTGGCAGTAACAAAACATAGAAATATCCGAAAATAAAACTAATAAATAAGTTGAAAATAAAAGAAGTCATTGTATTTAATTTCGTGTGTAAGTAATCGTAATTGTACACCATTATATTTAGTTCCTTTTTCTGCCAATCGCTGTCATCTCCGCATGCAATCATAATCACCGCATGTCTTTGGACGATGTTTCTTAGGTATTGTGACAAATGTCGACTTTAACCAATCAGTTGGTAATATACCAGTGTCATAAATTCCGTTAAAGAGATTATACAGAGCTTTAATTCCATTTTCTCCCAAAAACTTTAGTATTTCAGCACTTACTTCATCGGGGCCAAGTGCTTTTCCATTTTTTTGCCGTTTGTATTGAACGTGTAACCTCACTGTCTGTTATAGATGGACCTGATATAGCAATCGGTGTATAGTGTTCTACTCTCTCATCTTCAAATAATTCAGAAATGTAGTTTTCCCATTCTTTTAACTGTTCATTGATGTCTAATATTCTGTGTCCTTTCTATCTTCTAAACTTTGGGATACTTGTTTCCGTTTGTTTCCAGCGACCTCTTTTAATTTTTTGTGCAGATGAAATGTATCGTGTTTCTTTCATATTGTTCAATTTCATTACATTCTTTACTATGAAATTGTGTTTTCGCGTGTCTTATCTTCTGCCTGATTATTGCGTGGATCCTCCTGTATTCGTTTTTATCTTTATTTCTGACTTCTCTTCTTTGATCCATAAGTGTCAGTATTTCTTCTGTCATCCACCCTTGTTTTTTTCTTGCTTTTAGTGCACTCAATTTTGTTTCTCAAAACGGTCTTTAAGATTTCTTTAATTCTCATCCAGTTTTCCTTAGTACTTTCCTCTTTGCTTGATGTTAACTTCATTTTTTGTTCTTATATACTAGTTATATCTTGTTTTACAGTATCATTTAACATCTTTTCTCTATCAATAGTAACTGTTTGCTTATTCGTCCTTGCAACTCTTTTTAATCTCAGTCTTATTTTTCCTACTAAAATATTGTGATCTGTTGGTACATCTGCGCCTGGAAGTGTTTTTACTGCTAATACTGAATTTCTGGATCTCTTATTTATACATATGAAGTCTATGTGGTTATGCACAACTCGTTCAGGTGTATCTGCTGGTAATTTCCAGGTATAAAGACGACGTTTTGGAAGTTTGAAAATTGTGTTTGTTATTACTAATTGCTTTTCTACGCAAAACGATTGCAACATATCTCCTCTTGCATTTCGTATTTCCAGACCATATTTTCCTATGATATCTTCCTGTTCACCTTCACCAATCTTTGCATTAAAATCTCCCATGATAATATTAAGATCGTGTTTCCTTGTAGGTGCTAATACTTTCTCTAAATCAGGATAAAATTTTTCAATTTCTTCTTGTTTATAGTCTTGTGTGGGTGCATATACTTGTAATATGTTCACATTGATTGTTGTTGATTGTATTTGTGTCATCAGTATCCTGTCTGAGAATAGGACGACATTTTTTACAGCTTTACCTGTTTCCTTCGACACAATTATTGCTACACCATTTTTGTGTTTTTAGCTATCTTCTCCTGAATAGTATACAATGTGATCATCTACAGTTACTTTTCCAGACCCTGGCCATCTCATTTCACTTTTAAATTCAATATTTAGAATTGTCAAATTTTTTTTAAATATTTTTCAAGTGATTTCGAAACACTTTTTAGTGGTTTTTGAAACATACGCAAACATACACAAAAAAAATTAAGGGCGTTGCCAGATTAAGTCATCATGCACCGCCATCTCTCTCTAACAGCTTTTACTTCTGTCAGACTATGATTAATTTATCTGTTTATTTTAGACGTTCGTCGTGGAACTTATTGTACTGGGACTTTTAGTTTTCACCACAGCCTTCATGATCACATCAGGTGTTTTAAGCGAATTGACACCAAGCTTTTTGTACTACAAAGAAAATATTGTGATGCAAATTGCAATGATTTTTAACGTTATCATTGCTTTTTGGAGCACACAGTTTATCATTGGGGTACAGTACATGGTTATCGCTGGAGCTGTTGCTAAATGGTACTGGTCGAAGTAAGTATACCTATTTTTCTGTTGCATTAGAAAAATAATACCAGACCCCAACTGATAATTTTAGAATTATTGTTTTATTAAATTTAATTCTCAATCAGTTTTCTCAATTATAAACCAATACAACCAGGAAATTTACATGGAATGCGTTGTTTCATTGAATTAAAGATTATTAATACTTCAACCTTCATCAGATACACTAGTGGTCAAAATTCTGGAAACTTTTCAAAAATTTTAGTTTTGTTATCAGCATTCCTCTTTTTTACAAGACTTATGTTATTTATAAGTTTATCTATAATTTTATTACATCGTTTTATGCTACTAGTTAATATTTAACATCTATTTTAAGGGGAAAATCTACTAAAAATTTAAAAATAAATAAAACAACAGCTGTTAGCTATTAGTAGATATATTTTTTAAAAATGGGACAATGATTATTATCAACAAAATTAGTATTTGGTAGGATAACCTTTGTTTTTTAGGACAGGCTCAATTCTGCGAAGCATGGATTTGACGAGCCGAGCCAAATCTTCTGGTGTAATAACTCTAAACCAGTTTTGAATAATGGCTTCTATCAGTTCTCTCTTGTTGCTTGGGTTTCGGCGTGGTACTAAGACTTTCAGCCTTGACCATAAATTTTCTATTGGATTTAGATCGGGACTATTTCCAGGCCAAGGCAGATCAGTAACATCATGGTTTCTCAACCGTTCCATGGAAATCTTAGCCGTATGACAAGGCGCTCCATCCTGCTGGAAGATGCATTGTTGGGCATCCCCTTCGAACAAATCTCTGATAGTCGGCAGCAGTTTGGCTTGCAGTATCTCTTCCTGATATTTTTTTGCATTAATATTGCCCTCTATTACTGCTAAACGTCCAGCTGCATTAGTGGTCATGCAAGCCCATACCATGACACTCACATGATGCTTCATAGTGACCGTAGTACACTGGGGCAAAAGGTCTTCTCCCGGTCGGCGGCGAACAAACTTCACTCTGTCACTCACAAAGATCGAGATTTTGGTTTCATCACTCCAAATTACTTTACTCCATTGTTCTTCTGTCGATCCTCTGTGTGCCAAAGCCCTTCTTCTTCTTCTTACGGTGCCTATCCGTTCCGGATGTTGGCGATCAACACGGCTATCCTAACTTTGCTTACTGCTATTCTGAATAGTCCGTTTATCGATGTATTAAACCACTTTCTCAGGTTTTGAAGCCAAGATATTCTTCTTCTTCCTGGTCCTCTCTTTCCAAATACCTTGCCCTGAAGAATGAGTTGCAACAAGCCGTATCTCTGTTCATTCCTCATAACATGGCCAAGATATTCTAGTTTGCGCTCTTTGATGGTGTTAATAATCTCGCATTCCTTGCCTATTCTACGTAGGACGTCATCATTAGTCACAGGATCCACCCATGAAATTCTTAAGATACGTCTGTAAGACCACATCTCGAATGCCTCGAGTTTTTTTAAGGAAGCTTCGGAAAGTGTCCATGCCTCTACTCCGTATAATAAAATACATAGCATCTAATGAGAGAGATTTTGGTAGCAAGTGGTAAATCATGACTTCTGAAAAGAGACTTCATCATTATGAACGCTGATCTCGCTTTTCCTATGCGTTGTTTTATTTCACTGGAGTGATCCTATTGGCTGTTAATGTTGGTACCAAGGTATGTGTAGCTGTCCACTCTGTCAATTGGATGTTGGTTAACCAAAAGCTGCGTATTTAATATTTCGCGCTTACTGACTACCATGTATTTTATTTTCTTCGTATTAAGATCAAGTCCGTGTTCTCTACTTATATGTGATATACGCGACATTATTCTTTGCAAACCGTTCAGACTATCTGCAAAAACTACTGCGTCGTCGGCATATCTAATGTTGTTTAGACGCATTCCGTTGACTAATACGCCTTCTTGTAGTTCTCCCAGCGCTTGCTCGAAGATATATTCAGAGTATATAATAAATAACACCGGGACAGAATGCATCCTTGCCTCACTCCTCTATCTATGGAGACTGCCTCTGTCAATTGATCATCCACTTTAATATTGGCTGTTTGGTGGCAATATAAATTATAGATGATTCTCAAGTCCCTATCATCTAACCCCACTTCTTTCAAGATGTTTATAAGTTTATCATATTTTACTCTATTAAATGCCTTTTTGTAGTCGATAAAACAAATATACACATCGCAGTTAACATACCTGCATCTTTGCATAAGCACTTGGACAGCGAATAGAGTCTCTCGGGTGCCTAAGGAATCGCGGAATCCAAACTGCGTCCATGATACTTGTTCTTCGCATTTTTTATATATTCTGCCGTGTATCACTTTCAAGAACGTTTTAAGTAAGTGGTTCGTTAGGCTAATTGTTCTGTAGTCTTCGCATCTCTTGGCATTTACTTTTTTTGGTATGGTCACGAAGGTCGACTTTAACCAGCTTTGGGGTATTTTTCCAGTTACGTATTCGCTCCGTGCGTGACTGATGCGACACCTACCGCCTTCATCTGACAATTTTGGAGTCCCAATTTTCAGGTTAAATATATGACATATGTTTGACTTTGTTAAATACATGCGAAATTGACAATTATTAATAAATTAGTTTTTTAACTATATTTTTTCAGTTTATGTACAAAATAAATGTAGTATTAAAAACTGAGTTTCTCAAAATTCATCATAATATATCTTTTCAACTCCAAACGGAAAAGAAAGGGAAAAATCTAGTACTGGCAAATCAAGTTTTTCACGCAAAAGAGCATATAATTAAAATCAATAATAGTAAAAGTTATGATATAAAAGCTAAAGTCATCTGCAGTTAGATTGAAGCCTTATGAAATATCATTCAAGGTAAATTATTTAAATTTCAATTGCATAAAAATGAAATTATGTGATATTTACTTTTTCATATTAATAGCACGAATTCATCTTTTTCTTTTCCGTAATTTAAATGTAATCTTTGGGAACCTATAAAAACTATACTCACTGTTTTTGCTATTATTAGCAGAATTAAATACGCAACATGTATTTGCACACATTTTTGATAAAACTTATGTGTAAAAATATTTTGTCCAATATTCCAATTTTATCATATTTCGCCGCTACGCACGCTGGCATCGTTTCAATGTACCCCTACCATGGTCACACACGGAGCGAATAGGTTGTTGAATACAGTTTTTATCCATTTTATTCCCTGTTCATCCATAAGTTTAAGGAATTCTGCACAAAACTCGTCAGGCCCTACCGCTTTACTATCTTTAGTTCTTTTAATAGCTAACGTGACTTCTTCAATGGTAATCGGGGGTCCTGTTTGGCATTCAGTGTCTTCAATGGTAGTCTGCCTTTCATCTGCAAAAGTTACTTCCACATAATTCTTCCAAGTGTCTAGTTTTTCTTCCACAGTTAACATTGGTTTGCCTTGGTTATCTGCCAAACACCCATTTCTTCTAGGTTTGTATAAGCTTGCGGCTTCTTTAACTTTTTTGTGCATATTAAATGTATCGTGTTTATGTTGCAATTGCTGTATTTCCGAACACTGTTTTCTTAGATGTGTATCCTTAGCTATTCTAATAGCTTTTTTGATCTTTTTATCGATTCTTTTGTATAATGACATGTCTTTATCTTTGAACTTTCGCCTCTCTTCCATCATATCTAGAATCTCATTTGTCATCCACGATTTCTTCTTAATTTTTGGTGGTTTGAGAAATTTCTCTCGTATGTATTTTGAAACTGTATGTAACTTTTCTAGCTCCTGGTCCATTGGCCAAAGCCCAATCAATGTGTTTTTGCCTCTATTTTTTGTTCAGGAATGGCTTCTTTCTAGGAATTCGTGTTCGCAATCCATTTTTACACAACTTTCTTCTGATAGTGCGGTCCGATATTTGTAATCCAGTTGATTTGTACAAAATCGTTAATATCTTTTGCGGATCTGCGACGATCTTCTAAAGAAAGTCGGCATATTCTACGCACATCGTAGTGACTAACTTTGGATTTTCTGCCAGATCTTTTTGCTGATTTTGTCGTTCCACGTTTGCAAACTTTCATTACACCTGATTTTGTGGCGCCACCACCCAATTTGTTAGCAATTTCTTGATAAGTGTAACCTTCTTCTCGAAGGATAATTGCTTTGGCTCTCTTTCCTGGCGACCAGTCAACACGTTTTGGGTTTCTGGTTGCCATTTTCGTTGAATCAACGCTGATGAATTCCTCTCCGACAATTAAACAATATCACCTTAGTAACAACTACCTGATGTCACTAATAAACACTGGAAGCTGCACGAAACTGTACTAAAGGCAGAGAACTACGAACACAGAGAAGCGACACGAGCCCCGAAATCCGTGTACCGTTTCTGTATACGCATGCCCGAACCTGGTTGCTTTATTGTCAAAAACACGTGCGTTTTCTTCAACTCTGGTTGTTTACGATAGTCCGTAGGCACCTGAGATTGTCAACAAAAGCCGGCCCTGCAAGTAATTATTTTTTCAGTGCAATATTTCATATTTATGCTTATTTCATATAACATAAATGCTCAATTTTATTTAAGAATTTATATTGTGTGATATGCCCACTGACTATTAGTTAGCTGGTTGCTTTCCTGCCATTTTCACTCATTGGCGGCTTGCCCACGCAAGATCTAAGGAGTGTCGCTTCTCTGCGTTCGTAGTTCTTTGCTAAAGGCCACCTAACCACTTCCAGTTGGGTTGTTGACTGACTAGCAAAACACTGACACAATACAGTATTGCCAATGTTGCCATTCACAAATCTCGGATTTTCGGCGTTTCGTTTGAATCTGGTTCCATATTTTATTAAATAATGATGTTAATAAAAAAAGAGTGAGAAATACATAAAATATTATGCAGGAATATAAAACAATAAAATAAAAATGTAATGGTACGATAATTTTTGTAAAGTTTCCAGAATTTTGGCCACTTGTGTAAATATTCTACATTTAACAATTATATACTAAAATTTTAAATTTCTTTTAGAAACAAGCATAACTTAGACAGTCCAATTTGCTCCAGTGCTGGATTCGTCTTCAAATACCATCTTGGTAGTGTTGCGTTCGGATCTTTGATCATAACAATCATTGCTATCATTAGAGCCCTTCTTACATCTTTGACTAAAAACAAGGCTGTCAAAGCAATAGTCGATGCTTGCATTGGAGCCCTTGAAGATTTTCTCAAGTTTCTGTCGAAAAATGCTTACATTTTAATCGGTAAGTCACGTTTCTATATAAAAGTTGTTAACCCTTTCACGCATAAGACGGTCATGACCGTCGGTTTATTATCGGTATTCTGGGACAAGATGGTCATAGCAGTCGCTATTTGAATCGCTCTCAGAGTCAAGACGGTCCCGACCGACGATGAATATAAGTGTTTTTAATGAATACAAACTGTTTTTATTCTTGTATTTTATCGTTTCAGCTATGCATGGTAAACCTTTCTACAAATCTGGTAAAAGAGCTGCCAAAATTATCTTCCAGAATGCTGTTAACATTGTTTCTATCAACTTTGTTGGTGATTTCGTGTTGGGAATGGCACAAATGTTGATTGTTCTAATTTCTTTATTGATCACCGTTGGACTTATGCATGTAAGTAGTTTTTGACGTTGTATTTAATATTTTTTGAATGTGTATTAAAAAAATAAAACTGAAACGGTAAAAAATTATGCAGTCAAGTATGAACGATGGTAAGTGAATAATTAACACAATTACAATAAAGAGTTGTATTGCAGAATTGAAGGAATACAATAAACAAAATCCACAAGGAAAAATTCCTGTAGCTGGCTGTATACCACGTATAACAAAAAGAGGTTAATCTTTGTAAATGGGTATATTTATTTAAAAAACCCTTAAAAGGGCCACATCAATAAAACAAACGTTTTCGGACTACACAGTCCATCATCAGGTTATTAAAATCGAAAATGCCTAAAAATAAGTATAAAACCATTTAGTTAAAACAAACGAGATTTTGAAATTTTGACTATGGTTGAAAAGCAAAAGATGGTTATACTTACTAGGTCATAATGCCTGAGCCACCAAAATATTAGGGTAAAAAACCCTTTAAATTACATTTAGTTATGAAATGTTGTACATTGTGTTATAAAATAACTGTGATGTTCTATATTAAATTAAATTTGACTAAAGGTAACACATGGCTCAATTGGCTCAATGCAACAAAAACTATAAAAGTTGTACATAGTATTACTACAGCCAAAAGATTCAACAAGTTTTGATGATTTTAAAAATAACAACAATCTAGGTGTTGAGATTTAAAAACTTTTTATTTATTAATTTAGGGTATAAAAGATGTCAAATCAATGATGGTTTTATAGTCATGATTAATATAATGACCTGTGCCTTAGGCAACTTATGTTGCTTTTCGTCGTATGGAATGTGGTCTAAAGTGTATTTAATTTTGGGTTAGCTTGTATTTATGAAATTTATCCTTTTATGTTTAACACATCTAGGACAAGGTAAAAATTAAATAACAAATATTTGAAGCTAATATCAGACCTCATGTTTAAATGACTTTATTTAGGAATGCTCCTATGGTGAAAAATTAATAAAATTAAGTTTAGTAAGATGGAAATCTACAGGCTGAAGAAATTGAAGTAATAACATATGTGATTGAATTTAAAATCGAAGAGACTGGGTTCCTCAGAGACTAATGAGAATGAAAGTAAAAGAAATGAAAGGAGGGGGGGGTTGAAGGAGAAAAGGAGTTGATCAACAATTAGAGATAATAGGGGTCCTTTATACTTAAAGTATCTAGCACCCTGAACAAAATCTATTTAGGTGGTATTAAATTCAGTTTGTAGAAACCTGAAATTTGTTGTATAAGTGTGCTACTAAGTTGTTGACCGAAAGGAGGTGGACAAAGGTAGATTAGGATTCTATGTAATATGGTAGATTATGAATTTTAATAAATTGTTAGATAATGTTTAAGTGATTACTAAATTAAAACTATTGGATACATGTTTAATATATGAATTGACCAAGAAATAATGAAAGAGAACAGAATTAACAGGAAAACGATGTAGAAGTGAAGAGTGAAGTGAGTGAAGAGATAAGATAGTGAAATGTTGGTATGGTGGATGTGGATGGTTCTGAAGTTAAAATTGGGGTCAGAAATTTGTGAGAGGAAGGTGTGACGATATTGTTTAAAAAGAGGGGTGTTTGAAGAACCACAAGATTATGTAGGAATAAGGTGTTGACGTTTGTATAGGAAAATAAGGCAGAGAAAATAGGACAGTATTGTGAAGTGTGGACTATGAAAAAAGTTGACGATGTAAAGGTTGAAAGTCACGGTTGAAAGATACATGGCGATTAACACAATTGGGGCTTTTTTGTTTTTCTTTGACTATTTCCAAGTCTTCATATAGATCTAATTTTAGAAAATTTTTTTGGGAATATTATGTAACAAAGAGACGTCTTCTGGGATGTTGAGGGTATGTTTATGTTGTGCAAGATGTTGAGAGAAGGTGGAAGTGTTCACCAACTAAATGTAATTTAAAGGGTTTTTACCCTAATATTTTGGTGGCTCAGGCATTATGACCTAGTAAGTATAACCATCTTTTGCTTTTCAACCATAGTCAAAATTTCAAAATCTCGTTTGTTTTAACTAAATGGTTTATACTTATTTTTAGGCATTTTCGATTTTAATAACCTGATGATGGACTGTGTAGTCCGAAAACGTTTGTTTTATTGATGTGGCCCTTTTAAGGGTTTTTTTAAATAAATATACCCATTTACAAAGATTAACCTCTTTTGAATAAAATAACATTCCAGAAAAACGAATGAGAAAGATACCTGACGGAATTGTTTAACAAAGGAAAATAAAATAATCAACACAATACCATACCTGAATTAAGACAAGAAATAGAAATCAGTTTTCCGGAAGGAGAAATAGTCATAAATTCGCTCAAAAATAGAAAGTCGCCAGGACCAGACGGAATAACCAACGAGCTTCTAAAATACGGAGGAGAAAGTATAATCCTAGAGATGACAAAACTTATACAAAAACTAATATTGCACTGCAAGATACCAGACGCATGGAGAAACGGCATAATGATGCCAATGTTCAAGAAAGGAGATAAAAAAGACCCCAACAATTATAGAGGTATAAATCTACTTAACACCGCACTTAAGCTTACCACAAAAGTCCTAAACAATAAAATCAATAAACTAACAACTTTATCAGATAAACAACAAGGATTCAGATCCGGAAAATCCTGCGTAGACGCCGTATTTGTACTAAGACAAATCACAGAAAAGCCATCGAGTACAATAAACCAGCATATCTATGTTTTATAGACCTAACAAAGGCTTTCGATCGCATTCAAGTCGAAGACGTCTTACACCTACTGTATAAAAGAAACATACCAATCAATATTATACAAACCATCGAAAACATCTATTAATTTATATATCTATATATATATTTATATATATATATATATATATATATATATATATATATATATATATACTCTGATTTCTTAGTGTGCATAATCTTTCGTTGAGAGGCTGGAAGTCTATTATAAGATGCTTTACTCTTTTATTGACTATGAATCCCGTTTCTAATTTGTGTTCCGTTTGATGGCAGCTATAATATATCGTAGAATTCCTTTTCTCTAATATCATTTTGACAAAATGAAAATTGAAGTTACCTTGAGATAGCAGATGAGTTGAAGATATCAGAAAAACAGTGTATTTACGACTTTGTATGAACATTTATCAACAAGAAAATATCGGATCAAAATATGCACGTATTAAAGATTCAGGCTGATGTTGACAATATAGTTTTAGCACAATAAATATGAAGATTTTCAGTCGATATTTGATATTTTATTATATATAGATTTACTTAAAAGTTAAATTGGCATTAAGCTGAAGTGAATATAGCGTTATTGCGTTTAAAAAAAGGAAATGTAAAAAAACATGGACAAAAGATTCCGTACCAGGTGTCGTCAATGTCAAATGTACATAAATTGTATAATTTTTTTTTTCTATTCAACAGAGTGTCATCTATATGTAATCTAACAATAATCTACATTTTGTTTCAGGGTACTGAAGGCGATTACGAGTTCGTTTGTCTACTTAATTGTATTCTTCGTATCCCTCTTCGTTGCCGTTACTTGCTTCTCAATATTTGAGGTAAGTGCTATTTTATGCAAACGTTGTAGATCGTACAATAAATGAATAATAAGATAATATGAGTAGCAAGATCATAAATTTCGTAGGATCATCTTATGTCACTATTATTATTCTCTTTGCCTATATAGGTATAGTATAGTCTAAGAGAGTCATTAATATTTATTATCGATAAGTGTCTACCGCAAGGCAGTGGGGGGATCGCCTCTGAAAGGATCGTACTTTCTTTTCGATGTGCATTACGTATTCGATTGTTAGATGTGTTTAAAAGCCGCTTTATCATTGTCTACTAAAGTTATAATCGTTGCAAACATATTTACATATAGATTTACATATTTACAAAACTTTATCAATTCTAAATAGAGTACAAAAAGAATAGAGACAAAAATATTTTCAAAATTGAGTTGTATGTAAAAGCTGGTTTTATACCGTTATCAACTGAATTTAAAAATATTTACATAAATTGCGTATACATAGAAAGTTTACCATTTATAAATACAATTAAAAAAGTACTTACATTTAAAAAAAAATACATGGACATGTCAGTTTTTGGTATCACTGTCTTTGTCTAGATCTATAATAATTGTTTCTTTGAGCAACCTATCTGTATTTTTGCAGCTGTCATTGATTATTTTGTCCATTTCTAATTCAATTAGACGAACCAGATAAATTTAGGGTATGCGAAACATTTTTTCCTCCTTACCGATGCTTTTAACTCATGCCATCTGTGTTCAACAGGATTGAACATGCAATAGTAAAGAGGAAGTCTTCCACCAATAATATATAATGTCGCAATAATATTGTTTCTGGTGGAAAATGATTTTAAAGTTTTAAGTTATTGTTTTATAGAATAATTATCTTCATAATATATATCATTTTCTAGCATATATTCCTGGATTCTAAGTTTGGTGTTATTAAAATATGGAACTTTATTCGGCCTACGACTGTGGTAATTAGCATTGTCCATCACAATTAGGTACACTGTTTGGTCCTATATTGGCAATAATTTCGTTGAAAAGTAGTTCTCAAATAATTATGACGTGGTGTCATCATGATAGTCGACACGGGAGTCCTTAATATTTTTGCATGACAAGGCTAAAGCATTAAGTATAAAACAATTTTTATTCCTGGATGGATTATTGTAATACGTTTTCCTTTATTTGATGAAACTTTTGTTGTACAGCGACAAGAAGAATCTGCCCAACCAACCACATTTTGGAACGTCATGGGTGTCAAACGATTTCCCATCCAGATATACAATTTATCTTCCACTTTCTCTGTATTTATGAATTTGAATTAATATCCATATTTGTAGACAATCAGATTCTATAATCACTTGGCGTTTATCGATCGTTTTTATTTTAAACCCGTTTTTTTTTTAAGACATTGCGTTACTGCCTCACTGCAGCACTTGATTCATGTGTCAAATTTCTGCAGCATATGCATGATGGTTTTTAACCTGGGCATACTCTCAAGTTTTTATTTTCTTTCCAATTTGGTCCCATGAGTAATACTTATTTTTTGTCTCTAATCTTTCTTTGGGATTAAATTTTTCATTACATTTTGGCAACTTTGGTGGAATCTTTTCGTATATTAATTACTTTAGCAGGCCTAACTATACCTTTAGCACTGATGTAGCTTTTTCCTTATTGATTATTCTTCTTCCGTTGTGTTTGTTTTTTCACACCTGGGGATTTCGCTTTCGTTTTTGAGTCCTATTTACCTTCTTTATTGGGGTTTTTCAGATTCTGATGCGGAACTTGAGATGGGATTGTAGTCTACTAAGCAACACCTGGCATTATTCGTACAAAATGTGTTAGTGTAAAGGATAGTTATACATGCTATTTAATTTGTTTTACGTTCTTAAGACAACAACTTCATTGTTTAGAATAAGAATATTATTAATGTTATTGACACTTTCCCTTGGACTTGCTACATTTCCATCTAAAGATTTAGAGGACTCTCCAGTTTCGAAATTTGACCTAAAAATTATTTGCCAGTCAAGACAGTAATAAATTTACTTCAATAATATAATATATTTTTGTTTATAAGTTTTGTTTTATTTGTTATAACAGTTCACATAAACGTGTACCTGCCACCCCATAGAGAATGTATCAAAATTCTTTCATACTTTTATAAAAAAATGTACCTTCTTTTTACTGGTAATTCAGGAATAAGTACCCGTTGTTTTCTTATCACAACTGGTATTCTTTGTGTCAGAATCACTAGAAATATAAACAGCAGCCAGCGGACCGAATAAAAGGAAGGTTATATTTTTTCCGAAATGTACAGTACAATGTTTAATAGGTTACCATTTCTTTCCAATGCTATTTTCTGGTATATATTCAGAACCGGAGCTACAATAATTCACTTAAGATTCATTTTGGGACACAGAGGACATTGCAAAACAAGAAAAAGATAATTTTAACTGATAAAACTGACATTTAACTTTCAATCCAATATTCTCACTGTAGTACATGGAACTATATGTGTTCTGTTCTAACCTTAAAGCGGTTCGTACACTTGCAACTATATTTTACTATTGACTGTGGCGCTATCTGTCAACGAATGGCAGAACTTTCAATACAATTCTATGTAGAATTCAAAGAATAATAGCTTTCGGTTAAAAAAGCCGTCGATGTGAAGGCGGCTCTTTCATGTTTTGGGCAGGCATTTTCTATGGATGGGAAAACCGAGAAGGTTTTCGTGCCTGGTGTAGAACGTGGAGGAGGTTTAACGGCGGATCGTTACATCAGAGACATTTTGTAGGAACATGTGGTTCCATACGCGGGATGTACTCATCATCATCATCGGTAGCTCGACAACCCTTTCTGGGTTGTATTAGGATTTTCCGCAATAGATTTGTATTAGATTTTCTGTTCCTTGTTTTGTTTTTCCAGTTGGGAGTCTTAAGTGTTTTCAGATCTTGTTCCACTTGTTCCATGTATCTAAGTTTGGGCCTTCCCTTTGACCTTCTCCTTACTGGTTTTTGGCTCATTATATGTTTTGGTGTTTCAGTCTCCAACATCCGTTCAACATGGCCCATCCAGCGCAGACGTCCGATCTTTATGGATGTTATGACGTCGGGTTCAATGTATGCTGTATATAGTTCAAAGTTATATCTTCTGCGCCATGTCATTTTCCTTTACCCCTTATATATGGGTCTAAAGATTTTTCGTTCAAACGTATCTAATATTCTCTCATCGCTTTTCGACAGTATCCATGTCCCTGATCCGTATACAAGGACCCGTTTTATCAGGGTCTTGTATATTTTGCATTTGGTTTCTCTTGTGATGTTGTTAGACCTTAGATGTTTAATTAGTCCATTATATGTTTTATTAGCGATATGTATTCTTCTCTTAACTTCTTCACTGACATTGTTATCTGGTAACTAGTGAACCTAGATATGTAAAAAATTTCACGCTTTCGATGTTATAGTCCCCTATTGTCAGATTCTGTAGAGTTTCTTTGGCCTGTCGATTTACTGGCCTTCATGTATTTGGTTTTTATTTCGTTTAATGTTTACGGCCACTGTTTTGTGCCGCTATTTCTATCGCATTAAATGCTTCTATCACCTCTCTTTCGCTTCTAGCTATGATATCAACATCATCTGCAAACGACAATATTTGTACACTTTTTGTTATTATTGTTTCTCTGGTGTAGACTTTTGAATGTTCCAATTATTTTCTCTAATGCGATGTTGAATAGAATACAGGATAGGGCATTTCCCTATCGTAGGCCCGTTCTCACATGAATTGTATCTCTTAGTGCGTTTTGAATTCGAATTTTGCTTTGTACTTTAAGGCTGTTTTCGCATTAAAGCATACTGCGATTTGAAGTGGGCGTATCACTTACTTTTCTACACTGCTTATGTCAGACCCTACGTGACTTCCTAATTTTGAAATCTGCAGTTTCGATGTTATTCATGGTGCCTGGCACACGGTTGTTTATTTGACATAAATGCATTATTCTCCATCTAAATTAGTTTTGTCGGAATACTTTTTTAGATTGATTATCGTAGATAATGTTTTAAAAAGAATTAATCACATTTTTAATTTATATGTCTTAGCTAAACATTAGTATTGAATAAAAATTTGTGAAACGTTGACTCAAAAAATCACCATGTGTTTATTTATAATAAATTAAAAATAACATAAGAATATTTCTTATCAAAAAAATTACAATTTAATGTCACAAACAAATAAACAATTTCGCAGTTATAGCTTCAAAATGATTTCAAGAAGTTATTTATTTGTTAGAGAAAACTGATATTAGCGTAGTAAAAATTAAACAAAAAATATTTTTATTTATCTATAAAAAATTGTACCCTGCGAAACCATCATAATAGTAAATGTATTTATCTGGCAAGTATTTCGAGCGACGCACTGTGAGGAAAAAGTTCCTCTGACTTGGAATATACATTATTTTTAATATATTTATAGATTGCAGTTACATAAGAAAAGTATCCAATTTATGAATAAAACACAAATCGTGGATAGTTATTTCATCATCATCAGTGGCATTACCAGCTCGTCATGACCAAAATCCTTCTCATAACAAGTCTTCCATTCGCTCCTGCCTCTGGCAACATTTCTCCATGCTTTAACTTCGATGGGATTTTAGATCATCCTCTATGTATCTTGATACCTAAGTTTTGGTCTTCCGCTGGATCGCTTCCCACTTCCTCTTCGGTCAAAATTTTTCTGATCGTTTCATCTTCATCTCGCCTAATTACATGCCATACCATCAAAGGCGTACTAATTTAAATACATTTTACAACGTCAGGTACTACACCTGAAGAAGCAACGTAGTTTACGTTACCCTTTTCCGTCGGAATCTACTTCATTAATTTCTTTGGTAAAGCTAATTCCTCCTGCCACCTCTTCTATGGAATCACAAAGTGTTTGGCCGATGATATCTGCAATGTCTCCGTATGTTTGGCATACGGCCTGTAGACATCACAGGTATTTTAATGAGCGTGCTGCTGCTGTATCGCAATATAA